AATTTCACATTCCTACGATTTATATTACGTGTGGGAGAGCATTGGATACAAAATGCGCGCGGGGGAACAATGGGACCTTTCAATGCAAGTTTCTTGAAAATGATTTTTGCGTCAGAACGCTCATATGCCCTTCTGCCGGGCACCCGACGATTATGTCTTTGTGAAGATTCCTGCTTTTGTGACAAGTGGGAACAACCGTTTTCACAGCGGGCATGATGAGTCCAACCCCCTTTTTTTAAATGGCTGCCACGCCCCTAAAAGGGTAAATTTGCGATGGCTCGACATCTAAAACATTTTCACATATCTGCTGGACTACTAGTGCAGATACCTTGAGAATAAAATGACACCAAAATATTAAGCAAAAGTAAAATCGCAACAGCTAGTAAGATTCGAATAAACTTACCACACAACGTAAAAATGAGATACGCCGTGATAGCCGTGAGCTGTAAAAACAGCCATGTAGCTTTACCATTCTTCATAGTACCCGAGGCAAAACGTTACGAAACTAAATAAGGAAAAAATGAAAAGAAAGTTGGAGAGAGTGCTTAAAAAGGTCTTAGGCGTTGTCATTAGTTTAGGAATGTGGGAACGTGGTTAACTCTAACTTTCTATTTTCTTTAGCAAAATAAGAGCTATTGGGGGTCCGAAGCCCAGATCGCCTGATCAGCGAAAAAAAATAGACTAGGTCTCGTCACACTTGAGAAAGCATTGGAAACGGCACAGAGCACGGAGAGGGCAGCCAAAATCATACGGTGTCTGTCTGATTGATGTCAGTCTGTCGTCTGTGGCCGTTTACACAATGGGGGCTACAGACTAGGCTAGGGCTGGGTTTTGCTACGGCCATTTTGAAGCCTCATACGAAATGACTAGTCCATGTAATAGACATGGCGGAGCAATGATCTATAACATTTGAGCAGATTCGCTGATTAATTATGCAAGACAAACGTATCTTGACCTCTAGATTTTGATCAATCAGCGGGCGCTTTCTATATCGGGTCTTCGGTCATTCATCGTTGTCGCAACATAGACGTAAAATGTATTATGTTATGTGATCGATAGTTATTGTATTACAAGACACCGCATTCAAATTGACCAATCAAACGTATTTAATGAGTACTGATTTGGGAATGAAATGACGCCACGATTTAGTAAAGTCGACTCCGATTGGCTGAGGCTCGAGATCGCATAAATCTGCATGCTTTGATTTTTCAGACGTTACACAGCAGACTTGGCTCCGTGGACAACGAGTGATACTCAAAAACGAAATAACAGGCCATGCGATGAACCATGAGGCTCAATTTTTGGCCAAAATCCGAAGCTTTATCTATCCTACCGAAGTAGTGGCGGCGCATAGGCTTGATGACGTCATCAGTGTGTAAAACTGTCAGCGAATCCGCCGTCTTGAAAAAAAAACACTGTACCGCGGTAGTGCTAGTGGTACAGTCGTTTTCCTAGTTCCGGATATCAAACATCATTCAGCTGCTTTCTCAGTGCTCAACTGGTCCATTAGTTCGAATGAAATGTATACAGTGGTTTACCTTGAGTGGCGAAGATCTTATATACACAAGCATTTTCCGAATTTCAACCCTTTTACTTCTGAAAATACAATGTCAAAAGTACCGATACCATTTTTCCTATTTCCAGATCGGTTTCATCAGTTCCGAATGATCAAAAAATGCTTCGCGCGAACATAAAATCACTCGAGAAAATCAATTTTGAGCCAGAACCACCCAAATCAAGCACATTTTCTCATAAAAGATTATTTCATTTTTCGAAAAACAGTTCATTCGAACAGAGAATTAACGTGAATGATTTCAAACTTTTGTCTGCAGCGCGACAGCACGAACACGCACGGACCGAACACCTTTGACCCAGCACAGATCACTATACCTCATAAATATTCATCAGTCGTCGCTGCTCTTTTTCGTCGACTATTTTTCTCGGGCAAGTTCACATTTTTTTTTAAAGATATAATTTTTTGAGAAGCTAGCATAATATCAAAAATCGTTGGTAACTAGTCTGGTTCCTGGACCCTCCAGTACAGGTAGGAACTATGCAGAGAGGGAAACTAGTCTTACTAGCCAACGTGGTTTCACGTCCGCTGTGTCTTTGCGGACGTAGCCGACACGGTACATGCATTCACGAACATGAATATGTAAACGTGTTCTACATAATTAACGCCCGAGGACCGACACATAAAGGGAGAACAACAGATCCTTTCAGTCCTCGGGCGATGGGTCTTTTGTTGGAAACGGTCCTCTGTAGTAAGTTTGCATGCTTAGTCTATGGGAGAGTGTTATATTACAGGGACAAAGGGAAACACAAAGCATTGTCCTCGAGAGTTTAGAAAACAAGAGTGTATGGGCGAGTCCGTGGTCACTCGCATTACACTTTTTTGCTTCCTTTCAAACTCTGAGTGCTGTGGTTTCTATACTTCTTGGATTAACTGTTTAATTTTGTGTGCGAATATACCCACGATATAAGGCTATAACCAAATGTGATTACAAATGTTGAATGTTTTCTAATTTGAATATGAAAGGACATGGCAAAATCAGCTCTTTTCGATTCAATAGTATTATAACAAAACGACTAAATTACTACTAATACTGAATTATAATGAGGACAATAAAAAACGAAGATTAACAAGGGGAATCCTGTCACTCGCATTACCGTCTCTCGCATTACAGTTTGTCCACCCATAAAGCATTGAAGCTTTTAACAATAGTAAATTAATAAATTTTGATTGATTTCAAACAAATTTAAGCAAATATATCCAGTTTTAATTGTGGAAAGTTTCATCAAGATATCTTGAACAGTAGTAGGTATGTATGGGACCACCGTGTACAAAATTATGGAGAACTTTAAATAAATTCATTAAAAAGGTCATTTTTTTTCTAAATATAGTCCATTCACTCTACCAAAAGAGTTGCGTATGCATCATCGTACATTTTATAATTTCAACATTGTGTCAACAAGTTATGTGCGCTGTAAATAGTGGAAAACCCAATTTATGACCCCATTTACTGGGTCAGGAATGAAACCGAAATCTTTCCCACAACGCCCATGTATAGGACAGGAAAATATTTTAGAATCTCACCTGATCGTTGGTTATAATGTGTAGGAAAATTGTCCTCAAGGGAGCAAACACGGTGTAGCCAAATCTTGGTGTGATTCACGAGGAGATTTGCATAAAAATCGGAGGATCCAAAGATTCTGGAGGTGTTTATGATGTATCACTGTGCCGCCCCAAAACATCTGTAGGCACATTCAAAGATCTAAATCAGCTGTAATGGAAATACAAACATTATAATACGTAAGCATAGGAAGGTTTCTGAAAAAAAGCGCCTGCTCAATAGGCTGACGTGTTGAAGCGATAGCTACGGAATCAGTTAAGGATACACACACAATTTTTTTTTCTCGGTTGCTCAATATCATGTCGGGGTCACCGTCACATCTGACCTATGCACATCATGCCCGTTCACTTTTCACCATGAAAATCCAAGTGTCGGCTGAGCAGCATTCTATTTGGGGTGGTTAGGCCACTGTTTCTGCTCTCTTCGCAGCATACAAGTCTTTCGATTTCAACAGTGACAACAGCTGGGTGAGTTTTAGAATATGTTTGTCTCATTTGACAGATTTTAGCAAATTTGTAAAATTAAACAGCCCGTCACATAAGGAGTTATAAAGAATGTTAATTCAGGGGAAATTTAGATTTTGGGTCAACTCGTACCCGGGTCAACTCGTTCCCGAGTCAACTCGTACCGAAGTTAACTCATACCCGAATGGATGGTTCCAACAAAAACTTCCGATTGTACCCTCAAAACGGCAACAGAATAGCGATTACGCTACCACAAATACAAATAAAGTTCGAGGTTTAATGTGTTGGTATTAATGTTGACCTACAATCTGGATGAAAATGATGATGGGCTCCATCGCCAGTGCCGAGCGGAGGCCATTTTCAAAATGGCGAGGTATTCGCGACGGAGCCCTCGCTAATTAACGGTAAATTTCACTTTTCATTCCGATCGTAAGTAAACCTTACTACCTCACATCTGATTGTGTTATTCAAATATATGTAGTGTGTTTTCATATTAATGATGTTATTTTTTTCCGGAAACTGGATGACTGAGATTGGGTGACTGTGCGAACTGCTACGTACTTTTTGTTGGTGGGTCAGATTTTGCATTGAATTTAGGGCATGCATTTTCTTTTTACGAATTTAGTATTTTCTGTGCAAACTGCTACGTCCTTGTTTTGGTGGGTCAGATTTGTTTAAGGGTATGGTTTTCGTTTTTACAAATTTATTATTCAAGACTTTTTTTTAAGAAAGTTGCTTTTTAAAAATGTCTTTGTAATATGAAAAAGTAACATTTTTTCAACGTTCACTCAGTTCATTTTGTTCGCATCATTTATTGAATACTAACTGCACATGGCACAAATCTCTGGTTGACCAAAGCATAAACTTGTTTATACCTAATTGATGTACATCAAAACTGAAGACAAACTTATGTAATTCAAGTACATCAAATCTGAAGATGTAATATGTTGGTCATTTCTTTGCATTTAGTTCTGTATATATATGCAATCAAGCTAAATGAGTCGTTTGTCGGCAATTATGATTTTAAGATACAGCCCAAAATGGGTAAGTATAGGGGTGGACATTTCGAAATTGACTTTTTTCTTTGTAAAATCGGAAGGCTACATAATTCGTCGGCGTTTTCACGAAGTGGCGAATCCATCGAAAATCAGAATTTTTGGCAATTTCGGTTTTTGTGCTATTTTGACTTAAATTCGTGTCCTAAACATTTCTGCCAAGTTTTAAAACCGGACAATGTTTAATTAATTAGTTACGCTAATTACATAAGTGGCGAATCCGATGCCCTCTGGAATTTGCGTTTTCACGAAGCGGCGAATCCCTGATTCGCCACTTTGTGGAAACGCGACGCACACACATTGCGTTTTCACGAAGTGGCGAATAACCTTTATATATCTCAGGGCTGCGTTGTTGTTGTCACGTCGTCACGTATACAAAACTATTTCGTTCTCACGGCTCATCATCATGCGACGGGCCGTCCTGGTAAGTCGGTAAGTTTTGACCGTTTAGACGAGCTATATTGTTTGAGCTAAATTATAGTTATGGTTGTATTCGACATTGTGATACATGGTTCTTATCAATCTTTGCAAAATTTGGTCATTCCACCGTTCTTTTCCCAGACCAGATGAACAAAAAATACGCATGTCGGAAATACACGAATTCCGTGTATGAATAGTGATTAATTGCATGCTGACATGAATGGGTCATTTTTACACAACATTCCTTTTTCCATGGTTAAGTCTACTTTACTTATGTGGGGAAAATAGTCCACCCCTTGATCATCTTGCGCCAGAGCTACCGTAGTTATGGTTATATAGTGCTTTTGAAGAAGTAAAAATGCTAGTGTCCAAGTGCTGACCATGCTGACAGGCCTAGCCTAGGCCAGGGCAAGATTAGTACTTAGCTTAGGGGGAAACAAGTACATTGTGGCCTAGGCCCTTCATAAACATGCCCAAGACATAAATGGATTTGGTAGTAAAGTTAACCTTTTTAATCGTTTGAACTATTAGTGTAACTTTAATAGAGAAACGTCCAGTGAAAAAAAAAAACATTTCTTGAAATAATCAGCCAGAAACGAGTTGAACAATTATGTCACCCATGGATTTTTAGCTTAAAATAGGATGCCACAACCTGCAAAAGGAAATGTCCACAATTAATGCATTAGCCATATCGGATAACGGCATGATAAGTTCATGTCAATATAAAAAATGTTTCCACATCTTTTATCCAACAGCTGCTATAGGATATGTAAGCTTGACATCTGCCGTGTCAGAAGTGTCAACATCAGACTGTTTGGCGAGCCTTGATGTGAAACGTAAGTCCCTGAGAAAAAAACATGTTGTGTCATTTCAGCACCATGGTTGAAATCCAGACTAATTAAATAGCAAATAAAATATACAAAAATGAAGTTTCACAATATTAAAAATTGTACATGTACATCACAGAGCCATATAGAACATGATGTCATTGGATACAATATCGCCATCACTGCTTTTAAATTTTAACTATCGAGTGAATGAATACTATATGATAGTTGTTCAAGTAACTGTGGTACTTTTTTATTGCCGGTGTGTTTTGTTTGTTTTATTTACAGAGCTGTTCTGGTTCAGCAGCAGTGGAAAATGCTGCATCTCTTCAGGAACAGAACTGTAAAACTGGGTACATGTGTTTCTGAGGTAGGCACATTTTTAGAAACCAGGGAAAAGTGTTGATTCATATTGCGACTGATAAAAGTACACTCTCTCCAGAATAAAAAAAAGGTTTATTATATTTGAATGTCCCTTCATCCTTTGTTATGAAGCACTAATGCCAAAGTTGTTGTTTTTCACCAACATAAAATCATGCACTTAACAAGGAGTTGCCTTGTTCATTGTGCCTTAGACATTTGGATTTTTGCTAAAGTTTGTCTTTATAATAACACAATATGCTTGCTTACAGTTTGGATTTGAATGGCTCTGGATGTGATTTAGTTTTGAAATTCAGAAGAAACCTATATTGAAAATGATAAGCAGTGATTTAATCTCTTCGGCACATGTTAGCAACCATAGCTTGCAGCAAGTATGAATATATATGTTGTGAATAATAACAAACATTGAATTACCATTCTTTTTCCCTTTCTCATTCTCTCTCTGCCTTTGCAGGCGATGCTGTGCACGATCGACACGATTCCAACAGAACCTTTTTCGTGTCCTAATTTAGGCTCATTGCTTGCATACAAAAACCCCTTAACAGTTGGAATGCATGAGTCCCTTATGTGTAATATTAATCTGTTCTGTGTTTTCTTAATGATGTCCATTTCAAATTTATTTAAAAGCAACTATCTTCAGACTGCTGTCTCCTTTTAGTACAGTTCACCAGCTTAAAGATTGCCCAATTACTTTTCAGGGTAAGATTTTCTTTAAATCCTTCCAATGAAACTGAAGATTTTGAAGCGTGCAAATATTGACATATAATCTATTTGTGGATGTCTAACAAACAAGCTGACAACTAAAAACGAGAAACCAAACATGTGACTGAAAATTGTATGGAAGTAACATGGAAATAGTTTTATTACTACCTTTTAGGCAATACAGATAATTTCTCTTTAATACCCTATGAACGAAGAGTTTTCTTCAAGTAACGATGGAGTTTACTAGCCTTTTAAAATCTCTGAAGCATTAAAAGTCTCAGATGTAATCGATTCATCGTGATTACTTTTAAAGCGTTACTAGTGGAGATAGTGTGAGGGCGGCCCATCTCATGAATAACATTTATCAGAATGTAAAAAAAAATCTACATAACCTCAAGCAGTAACTGCTTTTACTTAAATCTCTTTTAAATGTTCCTTAATTGTAAACTTCAGAAGTACCTGAATTTATCAATAAAGAAGTTCTGCTAAATTAAAGAGTAGCTTGTCTGTATGATTTTTTTTGTATTAAGGGTTAAATACATGCAGCTACAGCCAGTGATATGTGAACAGTTATATAACTTGGATCCATCCACCGCTTTACCATCACTATATAAACATCCCTTAAAATGAGAATGATATAAGAAATAAGCTATATTGTTTAGGGTCACATTGCAGGAAATTCAATACCAGTTAAAATAAACTGTAATCTTGACATTTAAACTTGTACTTGTAATACTACAATCCTCAAACGTGTTTAATTTGTACAAAATAAGTACATGTAATAGCAAGTGCCACCATTAGTCGATCGAAACCGAGGCGGCCACGCCGATTGAACGTATTCACTGTGCGCGTATGAGCGTAGAATCGCGCGAGTGCTTTTGGCCTCGTTTTCAAGTTTGGCGAATCCACTGACCTCTGCGTTTTGCGTTTTTACGAAGTGGCGAATCCGCGCGCTGTGTGTGGCGAATCCGTTGAGGTCTGCATTTTGCGTTTTCACGAAGCGGCGAATCCGTTTCGTATTTAACAGCTCTTAAACTACAGATCCATTAGCGGAAATATGTATCTGGTCATGTCATTTAACTAATGAGCTGTTGTATCAGTGAAACATCTTTTGAAATTTGGATTAAAAGTGGGGCGAAATGACCGTTTCAAAAAGTGACCAACTTCAAAACCGATTTTCTCAAAACGCAGTGTTCGCGCCCTGTGGGCGGATTCGCCACTTCGTGAAAACGCCGACGAATTATGTCCTATGTCAACTATTTTTTGCCCGACAAAAACTCACGATAAAGTCGTTGAAATGTGACATTTTTGCTGACCTCTAAACCTGAAATAAAGCATGTTTATTGTTGCTTAACAATAAACACTTCAATTGCGTATGGCTGATTTCTCTATTTGATTTCTGCGTTTTCTTCTTTTTGATCTGCCTGTGTTCTAAGACCCATAACTTCTGAACGGAAAGTTGTATTCACATGGGGTTTTCACCAAATATAAACTGAAAGATAGTCCATTAATAAATGTAAAATAAAAAAATTCGATAAGGGCCGACAAACGACTTATTTAGCTTGATCGCATCACATATTATGTCGAAAAAACAATTTCTTTTGTAGCTCCAAAAATGTTTCTACGATAAGTTCAACTATAGACTATTGTTTTGCTAACAGAAATTTAGAATTTTTCATTACTTGTTCACTTTTGAGACATCAAAATAGTCGTCAAAGTAAAGCGATAAAGGAAAACGTTGGCTCAATTCAGAGACTCTCTTTCTTTAGACTAGAATACCCGAAAAAATGTTTTTGGGTTTGGGTGTTTTCGTATTAGTTTATTTCCAGTCTGTCAGGTTTGACAAGGTTGGGTTGAAAAATTAAATATAAGTTTTGGGGGACCAATATATAGTTGGTTGATCCTTGGGTGTGAAGGACTGTTTGGACATGAGGAAATTGTAATTCAAGCGCAAATGAAAGTGTTATCTAAACAAAAGTAAATCGTGTTTGATTTTTTTGCGAGAATTGTCGTCTTAAAAATTTGACATCAATTCATCATGGACTGCAGACAATCCGAACGATCGTTTCGAGCAGCACAAAATGGTTCATCGGAAAACCACAGGATCATCTGTAAAATATAAAAACAAAATAACATAAAGTGATAAATGCATGCACAGTTTGGGTCGAAAATATGTTTAAAATGTGAAAATTAGCCCCGTATAAAATATGTACAGCTACAAATATAACCAGGCCTAATGCCGTTAAAAAACGGCGAATGTTCCGAAACTAACTGCGCGCCGGCAAAAACACCGTGCACGCACCGACCGACAAGTGCGCACACAGGCCCGGCAAAAATGATGTCACCTAGCACGGTACGTCCACGTTGACAGGCGAGTGCGCAAACAGGCCCGGCAAAAATGATGTCACTGTGCACGGTACGTCCACATTGACCGGCGAGTACGCACACAGGCCCGGCAAAAACGATGTCACCGTGCACGGTATACGTCCACGGCCACGTTGACCGGCGAGTGCGCACACAGGCCTGTCATCGTGCACGGACGGCCACGTCGAACGGCGAGTGCGTGCGCAGGCTCCTGGCTCCCTTAAGCCCCTGTCACACCTTTGCGTATCCTAATTCCTTATGAGTTCCTTATCAAAAATGTTCAATACGCAGCCGTACGCTCAATTAACGTCGAAATGTTTTGATCACTTTGACTTATGTGCGACGCACATCTAGCGTACAAGTAACGAAGTCAGCGCATCCATTGCGTATGAGATGCGTATGAGTTGCGTATGCAGTGCACAACAAGATTTTTCGGGCTGCGAATAGGTCAGTATACAGTGCGCATGCCGAGCGTATTCCGGACGCACCCGACTTATGCCGACCGCATGCTTGACGCACTTCAGAGCGTATTCCCGCCGCATTTCCGCCGCTCGCCGTCCAGCGTGCGTTGCATCTGCGCTGCAAGTACGCTATGTATACGTCCAATACAGGCGGCTCATATGCTGATGGGGTGCGTCACGAACACATAGCGTACTCGTAACGCACTCGACCGATGCGGGACCGAGGCGCTTCGTATTTATAACTTATGACCTGCGTAACAGCGTACGTAGCGTAGTTTTGTGCATGCCCAAAACTATCCTGCGTACTGGGCCGTACCATGCGTATATCTGCGTACATAAAACCTACACAAAACGATAGAGATGCATATGAGGTGCGTATTGTGCGTACGACTGCGTATGAAAAAAATGTCAATGCGCAACTCATAAGGAATTAGGATACGCAGAAGTGTGACAGGGCCCTTATCTTCCGTTTCACATATTTTGTTTTCGAGTACGGGTACGAGTTGACTCGGGTACGACTTGAGTCGGGTACTACTTGACTTTGGTACGACCTGACTCGGGTACAACTTGGCTGAGGTGTAAATTTTGGGGTACGAGAGGACTCGGGTGAAGTATTATAGGTACGGTCTTCCCTTTCGATTTTGCAAAAGTTGTTGAGTCAATCAGACAGAATGTTTAGTTCATTTTTAATTGGTTTCAGAGAGTCGGGAACGAATACAGTTTTTAATGTGCAGTTAGACCATCCTATTTCGTTTAAGGGGCCATCCAAAATTTTTAATGTTTTTAAATTTGGATTTTTTTCCCAATTGTTTTGACCCACCCACCCACCCCTATTTCCGATTAAATAAAAAATGATTTGTTAAGCAGTATTAAAAATGCAAATACATGTATAGTGGTGTTCCCTAACGTGGCGCACTTCGACATTTACGCCGACTTTCCTCATCAGTGTTGGCAAACTTCGTTGTTGACAAACTTCAAATTCATTCAGTAAAATACTGGTACTTTTACCATATTAATGCTTGCTATTTAAACTCTGTGAACAATTTGGGTTTCATGAAATTTAATCTGAAATTCAAAAACGGTGGTGTCCGGAAATTAGTCACAAATCGGCTGAATGTTCACCGGCGTGGCGCACTTCAATAAACGACGGAAAATTCCAAAAAAACATTTAAGAATTTCTGTCAAGTTGATAACTTCTGATAAACAAATATTATCCCTACTTACAAACCCAACTAAAAGTTTGTCAGAAAAATTATTTTCTATTTTGGGGGGGGACGTTTTCAAAGGGTTCACCGTGCACTTCGAAATAAAATCGGAAAATCATGCCGAAATACAATTTTCTTCTGATTTTGTAACAGGAAGATAAACTCGTGATTTATGAACGGAAGTGTTTAGAACTTGATGAGATTTCACTTTCTGTGAAATTTCAGTTAAAACTTTTGCTCTAGCTAGGCGCTACATGCGAAAAATCAAAGTGCGCCACACTACGGGCCGCGCCATGTTAGGGTACATCTATGGGTACATCAACAATACATGCACTTGCATTCACACACACCGGCAATCGTGGACCCCCTATTGTCCCTAATCCTCATTCCTTTGTTTGTACCCCTAACTTTTTAGCAACAGCTGTCATTGGTTTTGTACAGAAATTTCAATCATGGACTATCGGTCAATCGTGCACGTATTGTTTGTGCCCTTGTCCTAGGCCCATATAACAGGTGTGTAAATACTCATGTTTACACATTATGTACTACAGGCCATTCTGTATGACTGTACGTTTGTCTGTCTGTATTGGGGATGAGGTTGGAAAACAAACGCGCATAAGGAACGCTGGTGCATAGGCAAGTCAAAATATCTGGCTTTTTGTTTTTTCTTGGTTTTTTTATGAATAGTGAATTTGGATTTTCAATTATTTACCTTGACCCACCAACCCACAATTTGGAAAAAAGATCCAAATTTAAAAACATTGAACATTTTGAATGGCCCCTAAAGTTATAGGCATAGTTCATCATTTGTAACTTATGCATTTTGTTCGTTTAAAGCAACAAAAGTGCTCAAATTCTAAAGAAGGGTGCTGAACAACTAACCTGATGAAATTTCAGCTCAGCTTTAGCTGTATATTTCGAGAAAAACAGCATTCTAGGATCTCCATTTCAAATCAACAAATTTTTCACTTTGTCTGCATAACAAAATCTGTCTTTTTTTATCACTCTGACCCTTACCCTTTTTCAAGACAAAAGGATTTATATATTTTTCAATTTTCCTTCTCAAACAATCGTATTTTTTTCGTATATGGAGATCAATGCGTGTATTCCAGGGGTTAAGATCACGCAAAGCATGATCGGAACCAATATGGCGCAGCAAGATCGTACCCATGGAAACGAGGTTGGGTTCTAAGCGGATTAGTGTCTATTGTGTAAACATATTGTAAAAAAGCTTCCAGACTCTATATACCCATAGATGGATGGCCGGCATCTATATATTCATTTATTACATTTACAAAAGTTAAACTTCATGCATAAGTGAAGGCAACAAATTATGTGTAGAGACCTTGCTTTCAATGTCTATTTTGGAGAGGTTTACCGACATAAAGTACATTTTCGGTCAAAAATCAAAAATTCAATATCGTGCTTTGGCAATGGGACAAATAAGCCTCAAAACTCCCTTTTGCCCATACAATTTGAAATTCTACACGAAGTTCCATTTTCTGCCCATCTGTATTTGGAGAAGTTGTCTCGTCATCTTACGTCAAGTTTCGTGGAATTTTGTGCATCAGTTCTCATTTTAGTGCAAGATTTCAATATTGTGCTTTGGCA